ATAATCCAATACAAATTCAAATCAAAAAGAAATAAATATATAAATATTATCTATAATACCCGTATCACATTAAATATATAAAATCATTGAACTAAAATATATTCATATAAAACATCATCAACATTAAAAACGAAATCTTTAATATAATCAAAACATATAACAATAATACATTAAATAAAACATAAAACAAATAACCACACGAAATATAACACTACCCCAGAAGAAAACCTAATCGCATGTAAAATGAAGATGACGCTTGAATATGTCTATATATTTTAATCATTATACTTTATTTCATGGGTGTAAGATTTGTATGGATTTGTTTCATTTGTCGACGCAATCTCTTTTGTCCTCAGGTCTCTTGGCACCTGAGAGGAACAGAGCTGAAGGAAGTCCGGATAGAAAGACTTTGAAGACAAGGCACCTTCATCTGTTTTGCTTTTGAAAAATCGGCCGATGCCTTTGCTCAGCTGCTTGGCATTGTACCTGCAGGAATACTATGGACATGAGCTGACTGACTAACTCCGAAATAAGCAAAAACCCTACCATGTTGAAAACTGACATGAACAATGACAATGGCCCCCTGGAAGATTGTTTTCCTCCATTGGTTTTCAATCCACGTAATTCTTCACAAAATTCATACACATCCCGTGAAAGCTGGCGCACTCCTTCTTTGGCAAAATACAATCTGGTGACTCGTTCTTGATGTTTGACACCAAAGGAGACACCTGCAAAAAGAAGACATGACTGCAATATACTTCCTCCGTGAGTGCGTGCATGCGTGCGTGCGTGAAATCATCATGCAGGGAACGAGGGTTCACTGTGCCGTGAACAGTGGCTTTCCTGCAGGATGAGACTCGCAAATGTGTCTTGCAGGATGGTGCCATGCGGACGCCCCACCTCGAAGAGAAGCAGCTGGGATTGGGCATGTGCCTGGACACAGGAACGACGTGCAAAGAACTTCCGATGTCTCAACTTCCCTGCTGCGCCTGTGCTGCCTTGAGCACTGGCCGCACAATCTCCGTGAAAGGCAAGCGCAAATCCAGCCAGGTCAGCGCGGTACTGCACGGCTGGAACGAGACACACGGCTGGAACGAGAACGAGTTCAAGTGATTTTGAATCCAAATCCAATGCCATGTGCAATTAGTCACAGCTGCCCACTCTTTGACTCAGCGATCTACAGGAGACTCTTGGGGAAGCCCAAAACAGCTTCGAACTTTGCCCTGAGCATCCCATAGCATTGACCGGTAATGTTAGGCTGAAAGAAGATCCCATTCTCTAGCTTTCAGTGGTTAACCTTTTTCAGGAGCTGTGAGAAGGCTTGCAGGACTCAGCATTGCTCGTGCTTTGGAGCTAAGCAGTCCAATCAATCTGGTCTCTCGTCATCGGTTCTGGTAGAAAAGTCCTCAAAGGACCTGCCGGCTTCAGACTTAGGAGTCATGTCGAACTTTCTCACACGAGTGAACAACTCGTGGTTTCAAATGGATTTACAGTACATGAAGTATGATGAAGGATAGTCGGATAGGGAAATAACCAAAAACACAATTCCAGCCTCTGTGCCAAACCTGCCGTTTTCCGACAAAATTGCAAATGCTGTACTGTAATGAAAACTGAAAACACCTCTTTGACATGAATGTATCTTCTCTACACTGCCGTCCCTGTTCAGTGTCATAGGTGCAAAACCAACATGACTTGGAAACTACATATAATATATATATATACACACTGTATATTATATGAAACATTATGAAACTATTCGCTCAGTCCCTTGCACAGCTGCGCTGAAACACCCCAGCCTGAACACTGTTGTGGTTGTGTGGTGCCTGAACGCACATACCACAGCAAACATTTGTGAGTTCGCAGAAGACCTTGAGGGAACATGACAAACATGCGAATGCAAGAGCAAGGCAATCATAAATCAACATTTCATATCTATATATATACCTATATAATACACTGTAATACAATATAGGGTGGTTGACCAATATATTCTTTCATCCTGGAATGGCCATTCTTCGCGGAAAAAACATATCTTTCGCGGCCTCATCGCGAAGCATGGTCCTACACCCATGTCTAGCTAACAGGAGCATGTCATAGTATCACAAAATAGGGACAGACATCTTGCAGCATGATCCCAATAGAAGGCTTAACGTTTCCACAGCTACTCAAGGTCACTTGCAGCATCTGTGCGACACTTGTGCCAAATAGAGTCAGGCACAGCTCAACCCAATCCTCGTGCCAGCTACCAGCACAGCTTGGGGAGAAGCTTTCGCGGATCTTTCGTGAAATCTCACTGGTGACTTCCCCGCGAAGGTGTAACTTTTGCAAACATCTGCACAGCCCGTCAGAGCAGCTGCAGGTCGTTGCCTCACTGTCAGGGCTGTGCCCACTCAGGTTGCTAGCAGCTAGTCTGTGACAGTAGGGACAGGAATCGGAGAACCCTTTACGCACTGCCAGGGCTGGGCACGGAAATGTTGAGGCTTCAGTTCATTAGTCTGTGACATATGGGGACACTTCCGCCCATCGGCTCTGCCGGAGGATTGCCTTGTATTTCTATTCTTTGTCAGTCCGGTAGAAAGCAAAGCATATGAAAGCGATGACTTTCGATAAATCTTTCGCGGAAAAAACAAATACTTTCGCGAACCTCATCGCGAATCTTTCGCGGATGGTTCTAACAACATCTGAAAGGCTGTTTTATATAAAACTCCTTACACGGGGTTTTCGATCAACTCCCATATAGACATATATAGACAATGGGCAACCATTTGATATCATATATACATGCCACCACGGCGTGCCTTCCCGAACTCAACTTCACCAGCCCAGCCACCACGCTCCAAGCGACGCGTCCGCACGGTCCAGCCTCGGTCCGCGTCTCGAGCTTCGGTTCGCATCGATCCGATGGGAAAGGCGTGGCACCGGTGCCGAACGCGGATGCTGAACCACTGTGACTGTGATGAACTGTGACTTGTCTGAGGTTTTTGGTGAACTCTGGGGTGAGGACTTGCTTCAGGCCATGCTTGCCGCACCTGCCAATTGTGTCAGGTAGTTTCAAACTGAAGCGAGCTGCATCTTGACACCGGAAGTGGAATGATCAGCTGATCTCCTGGGGCTTCTTTCAAGGGACCTGGCCGTTGGAATTGATGGCAAACAGGGTCGGCATCGCAAAAGGACTTTTTTGAGCTTGTTTGAGCTTGACCCTTGGTGAAGGAGCGTGATTCTCTTTCACGTGGCAAAGTCCTTGCTTGGCCCAAATGGTTTCCGTGCTTGTGTGAACTCTGCTTGACACAAAGGACCTTCCAGCTGTGTTGAGAGACAGATTTTGTGCCTGTACCCGGGGTCGGGACCAATAGTCTTGTCTATACTAGTAGCGTCCTTGCTACTAATAGCTATGCCAGGAGCTACTAGTAGCTTCTTGTTCCTAGTAGCGATGCCCTTATTACTAGTAGCTTCTTGTTCCTAGGGTCCTAGAAGCGTGTACCCAGGGGTCGGGACCAATAGTCTTGTCTTCGGTACGTGCGCCAAACACACCTTGTTACGTTCGTAGCTTCTTGTTCCGTTTGAAGCGATGGCCTCCAACCTACTTGCGATGGCCTCCAGTGTCTTATTGCTTCACAGTCACGGCTCTCGATAGATCCTCTAAGGGCTTGCTTGCTGGGCTTGCCTTCAAGTGGTCTCTGGTTTGGTGACCCGAAAGCAGGGTTTTGAAGGCCTCACTGGATTTCAACACCTTCATTTTGATTGAACATTATAGTACCTTTGATCTTTGATTTCAGTGTTTTCCTACAAGGAGAATTGTGTTTTTTAGTGCTTACGCTATCTCCACTTTGTCGGCGCTCCAGCATTTCCGGCAAGGTTAATGCCAAACAGTAAGCAATAGCAAGTACTTATGTAAACCGATACTCTGCACTTCAGTCACAAGAGGACCAGGGGTGGAAGCATCACAAAAGGCCTTCAACAAGCTATGAATGTATAACGGGTTGACGCCAAACCACAGCTGCACAAATGGTGGGAGCTGATCCACCCCGTCCAGCGATCCACTTGGTAGGGAAGCTCGATCAGGCCCACATTATGCGCTCCTCACCGCCCCGCACCTCCCCACCCCAAAAAACATTACATCCAAATCCAAACCTCAAAAAAAACGCACAAGCACTAAACAAATAGCGTCCTCACGAAGCGGCCGGAGGGATTGCAGTTTTAGGTTTCTTTGCCAATAGGCTCCGAATCACTGGCCCGCACTTGAGCTCGCAGTTGCAACATGTTGCCTCAAACAGTACTGTAACTTGGCTGTTCTGCTCGAAGTTCTATGATCAACCGAAGAGACCTGTCAACAAGAACAACACCCATGAACCTGACACGATGTGTTCAGTGTTGACATTATGGTGAGTATCTCTACATACCGCTACTACATACCCGTTGCTTGCATTTGTACAGCTACAGGCCGCCGTCTTCAGTCCAACCTTGACAAAGCAAATCACAGACCCTTCAGGTGTAACCAAACGCTGGATGAAGCGACAAAACGGGGGTCTCAAGTTACCGTGAAATAATATGCACAAATACAGAATCCTTCATAATCCTTCAATAATCATCATATTTTACCTTTTTCTACACTTCGTGTGGCCATTGGTACACCTTTAGACTTTACCATAGAAATGGAAAATAATAAATGACATCGACTTCCATGTCTCCGAACATGACGTCCCCGTGTGCTGCGCACTCTCTGCACGTTTGCCAACCTCTGGGCTGCGCGGGCTGCGGAGGTGACCGCACTTGGGGCAGAATCTGGCATCGGGCACGAGGTGATGATCGCCTTGGAGGAATCGATGTAGCCGACACGGCGCGAGATTCCGCCGGAAGGCGGCGCCGGAACAAAGATTGAAGAAAGAGATTCTTTTGTGGAATCTTCAAAAAAGATATCTTTCTTCAATTCAGATCAATCTTCATGAACCAAATGCTCTGCAAAGCAAATGAGTAGATTCAGTAGAGGAATTGCCTAATCTCATCTACTGTGGGACTGTGAGATCCGTTGCAGGCAGTGAAGGCGCTGTGTTGACCGTGGCTTCTCTATCCTTATCTTATCTTATCCTTCTTCAATTCTACTTTCAAATCAAGCAGCAAAAGGTGCATCGCGCATCAGCTGGGGCTGACGGCACTGGGACTTCCTCACAGCTTTGCTTTCAGAAAAGCGAGACGCAAACTCCAACCCAGGACCAACAACCGCCCACCGTCTCAGGAGCATATTGGTATATAGCAAGGACGCTACTAGTAGCTCCCTGGCAATACTACTAGGAACAATAAACTACTAGTAAATACTAGTAACAAGGGCATCGCTACTAGGAACAAGAAGCTACTAGTAGCTCCTGGCATCACAACTACTAGTAGTAGCAAGGACGCTACGAGTAGTGGCTCAAGCTGAGGTGGTGGGCGTCAGCTGGCCGTCCGGTATGCATCAGGCGTGAAAGCTCATCCAACAGCGTGGCAGGCGGGGCATGAGAAGCACACCGGTATTTAGAACAAACCAAGGATGGAAGGAACAAAACGTGCAGTAGTGTTATACTTGAATTACTAACAAGTGCATCGCTAGTAATTATATAAAAGCAAAACACAACTTCCTTTGTTTTTTGTTTCACCGAAACATACCCAGCCTTGTCAGCACTGCTCCGCCGCAAAAGTTCTCTGTCAGGTACACGCCTAGCGGAGGACATCATGCTTTGAAGAATGTCCCAGTGGTGACAGCAGCCCCCGTGGAACTCACGCAGTCCTTTTGAAAGCTGTTCCGTGGCCTATGCAAAAGGGCCGAAGAATTGATAGCACAGTCCGATAGCAAACTTCGTTTGCTGTTCGGTACATCACATAGAACTGCAATGGCACTGTATTTGGAATCAAGCTGCTCAAATCTGCAGCCTGAAATCCTTGCAGTCAGGACTTCTAGGATTTGTCAATCGATTGTTCAACTGATCGGTCTATTGAAGTCTATTGACGCTGTTGGTTGATGATGAGATATCACCAGGTTGAGACCACTCAACTTGAAGATGCTCTCCATCTCTCACTGAAGGGGATGAAGATGGCAAATGATGAGGGTGGAAGACAATTGTAAGCTTAGATCACTTTTGGACAACCATGGAGGTCAGCCAAATGAAACGAGCCAAACTGAGCCGTTGCTCAGCAGCAACTCAGGGCAATGTAGGAGCCAACTTGGCGCCAGTCTGCCAGAGCAGTGCCTGCTGTGGACAGTTTCGATCGCTCGAGATCACCAATGGTCGAAACTATTCTATGCTCGCTTATTACATCTCTATGTCACTACATGATGAAATTCTGCTGGATCCTCTTGATTCCGAGCTTGGTGACAAGTACGAGATCTCTTGATCAATTGACATCTCAACATGGACTTTCATGGACGCATGTCAAAACACAGAAAACACACATGCTACTAGTTATACTTGTTACTAGTAGCTTCTTGTTACTACTAGTAAGGCACTTGTTACTAGTAGCGATGCACTTGTTACTAGTAGCTAGGGTGTCTTGCTACTTGTATCCAACGGGTTAGAACGAACGGTATTCAGTCTCCCCTCCGTTTTCGACCCACTATTCCTGCGGTGGAAGGTGCTCAGGTGGGCCTCTCATGAGCGATGTGCTTGCTGGATCACCCGCAAGGCCTCCAAAGAGAACGAGACGGGAAAACAAAAGTCATCAAACATCAGTTTTTAACGCCAACCTTGTAAGGTCGAAACAAAAAACAGCTCACACATGCTCACACTATCACTATACATACTTCAACATGTTTCAACATTTTTAACATTGCTCATTCTGACGACCCCATTAGCTTCGTACCCACAGTCAGCCACTCACAGATCTCACAGTGAGAGGACTACTTTAAGATCCTCAGCAAGTTTGCTGGCCTGCGTTGGTAAGTGTGCCTCTCTATCTGTCTGTCTGTCTGCCTGGCTGTCTGGCTGGCTGTCTGTCTCTGTCTCTGTGTCTGTCTGTCTGGCAGGTCTGGCTCTCTGTCGCTCTGCCCGTCCCTCTACCTGGGATATGTCTCAAAGAGGACAGAAGACCCCGTTCTCGCACCGACCTCATCGACCTTCTCCCGGACGCGTTGTTCCGACCTCCGAAAAGGGACGCTTTCCGGGTGGCGAATCACCCTTCGTGGCGAAAGAAGGGACACCGGAAGCATGTCCAGGCAGCGAAGAGTTTGTATTTTTCAAGTGCTTTTTTTCCCAGTGCAAATCAAAGTGGCAAGGCTGCATGTTTCTGACAGGTATCAAGTATTAACTTTTCGGTGCAGTGGAGACTCAGGAAAAGTGACCGTCCTTGCTGGTTAGAATGAATGAATTGACTATGGACAGTGAAGATGCTGTCAGCTCGAGCCCTCGACTCCAACAAGTGGATCAATTCTTGGTTGTCCATCTCCAACATCATGCCAGTGATCTTGCCGGCCTAAGAAGACTAATGGTGCAACAGTAGAACGAATATCACATCGAACGCGCCAGTGCGTCCAAATGTCGTGTGCTGACATTGCATCTGGACCAAACCAGGGCCAAACTGTGATGAAACTGGACACTTTGCATCAAGAAAGGACATGAAAGGAAATTCTCAGGATCTATATACTCCGAACTACCGCTCACAAACCCTTTTGCAAATCAAGTGACCACTGCGACTGTCATACGTATGACTTTTCAATATACCGTACCTCTTGGCACGAAACACATTGGTTGCATGCTAGCAGCCAAGTCCGGCTGCCATTTTGCGACCATTGGGTAAAGCTTCTCACCGATCATCTGCTTCTGCACCTTAGTTGCTTGAAGCCACTGGAAACAACCTTTGGGACATCAATACCCCATCAACAGGACCGCTTCCTTTCTCTCAACAATTAAGGGACCTTGACCAACTGGACACACCCACGGAAGGAAATGCCAGCCTCTGAAAAGACAATACAGCTTTGGTGTGCATAGACGCTATGCGCGTGTAGGAGCCCGCTCGGTCGGTGCGGTGTGGCCCTGGTTCATGCAGCCGACAAGTCACCGGGCATTCAACAGGAACCGAACCACAGGAACTCTGCCGCCTTTACATCAAACTGAATTCAACCCAAGAATTCAAGGCGAAGATTTGCAACAGTTCAGTGTTCAACAGGAAACCAGTTCTGCAACACAATGGCTTCAATATTTCTAGCAACCCTTTTCCGATATCTTTGGGTTGGGTGGAGGCCCTCGGGTTTCCTGCCGACCAAGTTCTGGTCCAGTGACTGCTTGATTCACTTGAGGATTCCTTGGAGCAATTGGATCTCACTGCGCATGGGCCAAGCACACGCACACTCGGCATGCTGAGCTGGTGTGAAAGCATGAGGCGTTATTTTTTCTGCAACAAGCATGGCACTCACCAGCTCACTTCCTTCCAAATGCGCCTACGAAATCCTACAAATCTTCTTGATCCTCTCCAATCCAAATGCAAGCTGCATCTGCGGGTTCGGGGGGCCTCATCATTGGCCTCGCATCTGAGACGAGCTTTGCAGCACTTCACCATGTTTCTGACAAGTGGTTGACTTCTGTTTCTTGCCCAATAGATTCATGAATTGCACGCGTTGAGGCTTCAGGAGTTGAGTCAACCTAAATCTTTTCAAGTCTGTCTGCAGCTTTCTGAGAACCTGTCTGCATTGGTTGCATATTTGGTCTCATCCCCATCATCGGATTCATAGGACCTGGCCATGTTGCATGGAGGATCAGCATATGTGAGGATTTTGCATCTACTTCTTGCATTTGTTCGTCATGGATCGCTCAAAACTGCTCAAGCATTTCCGGATGATCCAAATCCTGCCTTGCCCCATTGGTGGCATCGGACCCTTGCCCATGCAAGGCATGCCCCCCTGGCATGAACTCTACTGCCGCTATGACGGTCACAGGATGGTCTGCTTTTCGACAGGTCTGTTGGTCTGCTGGTGTTTGACATGTACACACGTGATCACCTGTGTGCAAATGGACAGGAAGAACATGGACGAACCTCTCGAATGCCATATCGACGACCTATGGAAAATATACTGGCCTTCATGGGGGGCATTGACTGTTGTCCAGGGCCTCCTTTGCACATCCTTGGCAGCTTGACACTTGCTCAATGTCTCAATGCCGCCTTCAAGTGACATCTTTCTATGCCTCCCTCTCGCTCGTCCGAGAGGCATCGGAGGCTGCATCATGCCCATCATTTGAGGTGGCCTAGCAAGCCACAACTTGCGAAAGCATCTATATATATATATAACATGGTATAACAGATTATAAAAGCATCTATTCGAACATTCCACAGAAACACAAGACCAACCCAAGAGAATGATGAGATCCCTGAGTGATTTCTCCGGAACACGAACTCCAGCACCAGACGATCCCGCTCTACAGTGCGCAGTCCCGAGTCCAATCGATCCACCGGAGCATCGGATCATGAGCCTTTCCTTGGGGTTTGAGGGATTTCCTTGATGCTTTGGTTTTTCCGTATCCTGTGCTGAAGAACCATGGGTTTGACATGGCCGATGCCTCATCATGCCACCCATGTTCATTCCCATTCCAGGCATGTTCATATTATTCATCATCCTTGGGTGCGACGGTCGGCTCAAAACGGACAGCCATTGTGAAAAAAGAAAAATATGATGAGAAATCGATGTGCGCATCATACTGACACACAATCTTACATGCTCTTCATGCCATCCTTTTCAGCTCTGCTCTTTCATTGGCAAGACTCATTCCTTGTTGAGGCCCCATCATGTCCATGCTGCTCATGTCCTACCATTGACTACGAAACCGCAGTGCTTCCAAACGATGTCAGTGGAGCAACAGCCAAACAAATTGAACAGGTAGCAAGCATCCTGCAGCCAAACCACGGGCTGGCTAACAAGCTGACAAGTCAAATGAAGAACACATATTAATACATTTATATATAGAACTGTGTATATATATACACACCACATATAGAACTTATTATGTTGCCCGCCAAATAACAACATACTCCGCTGCAGTGGTCTGATTCATCATGCATGCTCCACGCACTCCGTCCTTGCCGCCATGTCCTTGGTAAAACTCATTGAGATGTGCGGTGTCCGTCATTGCCGTTAAGATTCAATTCAGGACTTGGCCCCGCTGCACGTCCACTTCTAAGACTAGGTGTGGTGATCCGAGCGGGCACGGATTTGACCATCTGTGCTTTGCTTGAACGTTCAAGCTCCTTTTCCTTCGACCCCTCGCATGGTGTTGGAACCCGAGAGGGTTTTTCAGCATGCTCATGGTGTGATTCTGAGGCAAACAGTATGCGCTTTGCTTCAGTCAAACATCACCTTCAGCCGATGCTTGTGGTGTGATGACGGCTATGCCATGCCCATGCTATGTCCAGGCATCGGTTTGGATCTGAACAGGCACATTCTCAGAATGCATCATACCTTTGGGACCTTTTTCTTGGTGCCTTGCCAACAAGTTGTCGCACTCCTTGTGTATTGAGACGGCTCAGCAAATTCAAGTTTGGGGTGTAATTATAAAGTCTGCGCACTTCTTGAACTGTGAGAACTTCATCTGCAACATCTTCACAGTAAGTCTTGTTTGGAAGGTGTGCAGGAGGCAGTCACTGCGCAGCGAAGTGATTGACTGCCATCAACGGTTGATGCGGACAAGCCGTGCTTGTCCATCATTTTTGATGCCAAACATGTGCACATCTTAATG